TTTGTGTTTCCCAAGAAAAAATATGTTCCCTACCTTCTGTATTTGAAAGGACTATGTAAACATTCTGGCAAGGATTTTAAAAACTGTTTATTTCAATGCAAAGGGTATGAACGAGACCAGTAGAGTTTTTTGTTTTTTCCTTTGATCAACAGATCCCCATGCCATCTCAAACTGCTTTTACAACTCCCAAGTTTTTAAACTCCCTGCTTATAAAGGGATGTGATAAGCTGCTTAGCTGGCATTCTAAACTGTGCCAATGCTTGGGGTGGGGGTTGGAGAAACAGCTTTTTATTCTCTTGCATGGACTTCTATGGGATCTACTGGAGGTATTCTAGGGTTTTCAGTGGCATAACACTGCACCGGCATCAGAATCATATCCAGGGCTGGAAGATCTTTGGAAGATGAAAACACCCCATTCCATTCATTAGGATAAGTCATCGTATCTCCAAGACCCTTTCTGCACTCTCCTTTTAATCCATGTTCACCACAGTGTCCTCCAAGCGATTCTGCACTAAAATTGATTTCAACCTTCTTTTTAACCCAGGTTTTTCCCCCCATTCTGCACTGAAATTTAATTCAGCCTTCTTTTCATTCCCCCCCCCCCCCCGCCATTCTGCATTATACTACCTCCCTTCAGTGGTCAGCCCCAGGTTATTTGGATGCTGTTTTACCATGGACTTAAACTGCCTTTACTCGAACACTGAGAAAATCCAGAGTGGCAGGCAAATGCGGAAAGGACCCAAGATACAACAGTGTAGGGTTTAGTGGCCATGCTAAGCCCTTTTGGGCTGGGACTTAAGATGGGGCTTTAAATTCCAGTCATTATAATCTAATTACAGTCTTTGGTCACTATAGATCAATATGTGTCATTTTGAAGTACAACACATAATTTCCTTTCTTGTTATGTCACAACTGTATTAAGCATCAGAGTAGATGAAAGCATGCTTTGTACAACACGATAGTCTGTTATACTTGGCAACACATTTTATCTTCTTATCATACATAATTTTGGTAGCATACCATATAACTGGCTATAAAATAAATGATCATAAAACTAGAAACTTGTCCATACTTTCTAATGAGGTAAGCTAAAATAAACAGAACCTTTATAAAGTTCTTTCTGAAAATTAAAATATTATTGGCACATACTTGGACCAAAGGTGGTCTGCTTGTTCAAATCTAAATGCATAAAACCCTAAGAAATAGAGAATGAAATTGATAAAGATGTTTAATTAGCATTAATTAAATAAAATCTTTATTTAAAAGAGCAAAGACAACACTGTTTCCTTCCATGATACCGAATCAACCATCCCAGCAGAACACAGACAGACAGATGAACAGACAGACTTAAATGTAACCATTCTGAGGCAGGATCTAGCATGCATGTGTTGTGCATGACTTATTTGCAGTACAGAAATTTCAAGATTTTTTCAAATAGCAGACATTAAAAATGGGATTCAAAGATCCATTCAACTAGTTCCATGTGCTCTTAAGTGCACTGATCAGTGGACTTCCACGCTGCATAACAAAGGAATTATGAAACTGAAAGAATAGCAAAAATAGTTTGAATTAAGGTTTTTCTACTGATATAAATAAGACAGGAAGTATGCCCAAAGTCTGGCATAGTGCGATAATTGTTCCAGTCTATAAGAAGAAGGATCCAATGGACCCAATGAATTACTGTCCAGTAAGCTTGCTGTCCACCATAGGAAAACTCTATGCTGCAATGCTTTTTGAAAAGTTGAAATCTTGGATCGAAGGAAATATCATTCTGGGAAACAAACAGGCTGGCTTTAGGAAAGGAGCAAGTACCATTGACCATTGCCATACTCTCCATACTTGGTAGATAAATATACGAGTTCTGGAGAAGACATGCTGACAACTACCTTAATGGATCTTAAATCAGCATGTAATATAATCGCTAGACACCGGTTATGGGGAAAGCTGAAAAATTATGGCATTGAACCACGTCTCCTTTATCTAATTCTACAGTTTTAAATCTACCCTACTGCTCAGGTTAGATGTGGGGCATCAGGACAGCTATCGGGGGCATTTACCCTAGATAAAGGAGTTAAGCAGGGATGTATACTTGTGCCCCTGTTGTTCAATTTATATATCAATGACTTTAGATTCATGTCATCTTCTACACCTATCTAAGTGCAAAGTTCCAATCCTTCTATACACTGATGGTGCAGCTATAATGTCTGGATCAATTGTGGGCCTCCATAAGCTGATAAAAAAATTCTAGTGTTACTGTAACCATGAAGGCTTATCTATGAATGTGGTGAAATCCAAGGTCATAGTATTTAGCAAAAGGAAAAAGGGGGAGATCTTCAAATGGGATATAGCAGGCCAATCTATGAAACAGGTTAATCATTTTAAATCCCTGGGAATCTATTTTGAAGCACCTCTCATATGGAAAATACATCTGAATCTGGCAAGGAACACTGCCTTAAGAGTAGGGAGGATAACTGTAAAATAATTCTACACAGCGGGAGGTGAATTTATTCCCTCGGCCTTAAAGGTATATAATACTACAATTTCAAATCAATTCTTGTATGGTGCAGAAATCTGGATTCAGGCTGCTTCTTTAAAAATTTACTACATCCAGCACCATTTCTTCTGATGCTTATTGACTACTCCCAGATGTGTCTCAGGAACAGCACTGAGAGCAGAACTGGGCAAATTATTGATGGAAGCTAAGGCTTGGATAAAAGCACTTCTTTTTAAAGTAAAGGTCTTAAAACCTGAGGGATGGCTCACTTCACTTGGACTTATCCAGACAGATAAATACTATAGCCAATGAGATCAACTATTAGGAAAGAAAATGTAATGCCTAGGAGTAAGAAACAACATGGTTAAAAATACAGAAACAAAAGATGTAATTAGGCAAATAAAAAGGTGTTTTAGCAAGTTGGACGTTACTAGTACATCTATTAGGGCACGTTGGGTACGTTCGAAACTTTACTTGGGAATTGCCCTTTTGATGCCACTGCCGAAGTACTTTTATCATCTGACAGTACCAAAGCTCAAAAGAGCTTTTACTCTGGCAAGAATAAATGCCCTTCCCTCAGTGGTTTTGGAGGGTAGATATAATAAAGCACCATACAGTAGCAGAACATGCAGATGTTAATATGACAAAGTTGAAACCATTGAACACATGATTATAGAGTGACCTATATTTAACGAGTTGAGGGCTAATTTAATCACACCTTTACTTAAAAATATAGAATTGCTTAACATGAGAGCCCAGGTGACATGGCTATTATCGGATACAAACGATCTTGTCACCCTTTCAGTGGCAAAATTTATAGGTACAATAATTTAACACAAGGGAAATAATACTAAAAAAGGTCTTTTTATTTTAATTTTTATTCTAATTTCTGCTTAAAGCAAAAGCTGTATGAACAGTACTAGATAGATAGGTTTGAATTAAATCACTTGGGAGTCTGCTGTTCACATTAAAAAAGGCAACATTTCCTCAGGTAACCACAGCCCCTTTAGCCTAGCTAAGAGGATATTTCTGGAGGTCAGCCACTGAAAGCCAGAATCCACAATCTGACATTTCTTTCATCCATGTAAGATCAATGACAAAAGCTAACACACAATAACAACTTAAGCAATTTCTGTGCTGCTTTTTACATATATATGCTGTGAAAGTAAATATTTTTATCATTAGCAAGCAAAAAACTCCAGCCTTGTTATCCCATTCTCCAATATTGTTATATGAGAAAATTTAATTCATTTTATTTATTGTAGATAATACATTTATTTTCTGCAATAAATGGCAGTTGTAAGGTAAAATAGACTGTGTCAGTTTAATACACCTTGACTGCACCAGTGTGCTTCAGAAGACAAGTAATATTTGGAAGTTTTAATGGCATTAACCAATTATTTTATGTATTTAACGGATTTTTCTACTGTTTATCTAAATGCTCAAGGCAGTATGTAACAAGGAGAATAATACAACAGCATATCTATATATCTAATAGCCAAGATGTCTCCTCTGTGCGTATATCTAAATACACACATTGGGGGCACAAAGGGGGCAAAGAGATTTTCCCGCACACTCGGGGCACTCCCCAAGTGTGCAGAAAAATTGGAAATGTTGAAAAAACTATATGGGGGTTACTTAAATCCCCCCCAAAGTAGAAGACTGTCCAGAGTGCATGCACAGAAAATGCACTGGGAACTTTGCCTTGCTACCATTGCCGAGGGGAGGCTTGGCGGGCCCGGCAGCTGGGAGCCACACAGGCCTCGCCACCAGTGCCAGAGGGGAGACAGTTTGGCAGGCCTGGCAGCTGGGAGCTGCCGGGGGGGGGAGAATGCTTGGCGGGCAAGTGGCTGGGAGCCATGCAGGCCTCACCACTGGTGTCAGGGGGGCAGGGGAGAAGGCATGGCGGGCCTGCTGGGCTCACCTGCGGCCACTGTTCTCTCTAAGCTGAGTTAGTATGAGCCAGCTCACAGTTTTTTAGCCTCCGGCTCACACATTTTTGTCTTAGTTCAGGAAGGATGGCTCCTGAGCAAACTAATGTATGCAGTAGCCAAATTGCTTGCTCACAACTTTAATGCCAGTAGCCCAGAAAGTAGAATTTTTGCTCACAAGACTCCACAGCTTAGAGGGAACATTGCCTGCGGCCACTTCCTCCTACTCCATATGGAACTCCTGCTGCTTCAGCAGGGGAGCCGTGGGGAATACTCTCCCCCACAAGCATTGCAGGTCCCCGCTTCTTGTAAAACCAAATGATAAAACATCACATGTGCTGGTATGAATATGGAAAGGTTTTGGAAATGACAAGACGTTGTTTATTACTGTTAGACCTTGTTCTTTTTATGTGGTGGTATTATGATCTGTGTAGGTTATATACAAGAATTCCATATATATATATTAAAATCTTAAATACTAGATTTAAAAAATCTGTACAGATGTTATTCAGTGCAAAATTAATTTTGAATACATTACCTATCCTATATTCTTGTTCAATTTGACTCTTACCTACCCTGTTAACTCTGGGATGTCCTTCAGTAACAAGTGAAGAAAGTCCTGGAAAAGTAAGAAAAATTACACAATTCAACTTTAAAAAACATTGGCAATATAGTATAACTGCTTATTCGGTTTTTCATAGAAAGTAATGAGGTAGACATGCTGATGAAATTCCTAGACTTCTGAACAGTGAAATTACAAACATAGATACGCTCAAAATAAAACAGAATCCTAGCTGCCAACCTCCCTTTTCCAGGTATAGAACAAACCTCTATTTAATATACCTAGATAACCTCTTACCCTATACTTCTGAAAGATAAATAACCACATCTAGACACAAAAAATAACCATTAAGGGAGTTACAACATTAACTGCAAGGCTCATGTATAAACACATAATACATTAATGAAAATATAAATATATTCATATTTTAGTTTAATTTTTTTATTTATTAAGTTTGTATCCAACTGCTCCTCCAAGTAGTTAAATGGCATTGGATCTTATAGTTGCATAATATCCCTGCATTCCTCTTCCACAGCAGCCCCCTGTGCACCCCAAAACCTTTCTGCTGAAGGTCAAAGGACCCCTCATAATAAAAAATATACCTGAGAATGAGAGACTGCAGTAAAGAGGTGGAACTGGGGGAAAGTCACTCCCCAACACACACACAGACACACTTTTTAGCTAAAAAGCAAGTTTAGTCTACTTATAGCACTATAACATTGTATATAGAGCCAGTTTGGGAGTAGTGGTTAGGAGCCTGGACTCTAATCTGCGAGAACCAGCTTTGATTCCCCACTCCTCCACATGCAGCTGCTGGTTTGACCTTGGGTCAGTCACAAGTTCTTTCAGAGCTGTTCTTTCAAGAGCAGTTCCAGAAACAGCTCTCTTAGCCCCACCTACTTCACAGGGTGTCTACTGTGGAGAGGGAAAAGGAAAGGAGATTGTAAGCCACTCCTTCAAGTAATGAAAGGTGGGGTATAAATCCAATCTCTTCTTCTATATTATCAAATATTGACCATTAGCCAGAATGAAAGGGGCTGGGATGGTTCAGAGGTTAAGATGCTGAGCTGCAGACCGGAAGGTCTGTAGCTCAGCACTTCAAGATCCAAGCATTTCATGACCCCACTGCTGGACCTCCTGATGGCACCTGGTATTTTTGGCCACTATGTGACAGAGTGTTGGACTGGATGTGCCATTGGCCTGATCCAACATTGGCTTCTCTTATGTTCTTATGCCAGAGTGAGCTCTTGTCTCTGGCCCCAGCTCCTGCCAACCTAGCAGCTCAAAAGCAAAAATCTGCAAGTAGATAAATAGGTACCACTTCGGTGGGAAGGTAACAGCGTTCCATGCACCTTGGCGTTTAGTCATGCTGGCCACATGACCACAGAAACGTCTTCGGACAGCACAGGCTCTTGGGCTTGGAAACGGAGATGAGCACCGCCCTCTAGAGTTGGATTCGACTAGCTTTTGAGCAAGGGAAACCTTTACCTTTACTAGCCAGAGTGAAGTCTGAAAGCTAGACAAGTAAAATTTTAGCCTAGTCACAAAAGTAAGCAACATACCTATTGTGTACAAAATTATAAAATTATTTTAAGAAATTAAAATAAGAAAAATGAGGAATTTGGCCTCTTCAGTCCTGAGGAGTTTACAGTATTGAGGATGGGATGATTTAAACCTATGGTGATGGAAAGTGCCATCAAGCCGTAGCCAACCTCTCTGCCCCCACACAATTTCTTACAAGCATGAGTAGATTTTTGAATTGCATTGCAATTTTGCATTGCAATTTTGATTACTGTAATACTGAATTTAAAAGGAGTCAGAAATGACCATATTAGGACACAATCCATAACACCATCATTTTCTATGTGAAACAGATAGGATCATTCCGAATGACGTAAAGCTGCTACGTTCTCTATTTGAAAGCTAGACAAACTGTATTCAGTTTTGGTTAATTTCTCTGTAAGCAAAATATACCACTACACTATGCTTTCTGTTAGCAGCCTCATGAACAACCTGGAATATAATCAAAACTGGCCTAAATTTAAAAAATCCCAAATTTTCATCATAAACTGGAAAAAATAATATCCAACTGAGCAAACTTTATTGCCTAGCACTGAGTCACTGAAAAATGCCCATCAATCCTGCTCGTTCTGAAAGAATGGAATTGGACCTACATTTATTATATTTCCATTGAACAAATAAGTATACATGTATCATTTTCTTATTTAGTTATCAATTTTAACATGGTTATGAAATGTCTCCATATGAATATACTTAGCATACTCCCAAACACAATAATTAATTATATTTAAACGTTTTAGCTTTTCACTTGTTCAAGCAGATTTATAATGCTAAAATTAAAGTGTGAAAACAATTTGATTTTAAATATTCGCTTTGTATTATGAAACAAAAAATTAACTGCATTAGTTATTTCTATTTATTTATAGTTACCAACACTACATTCATTACACATTTAATCAAAAGGCGTTATTCAATGAATTCTCTCACAGAAACCAGAATGGATTTTTTAAAATGCTGCCCTAAGACTCCAGACGTTCTTGCTAGTTCAACTAAAATAAACAAAAACTACTATTAAAAACATACCAAGCATGCAGTCAAATGAAAGGGGGAGGGGGAAGCAAACTGATTAATGTTTCACATGTGAAGTCATTTCCTTGCACCTGTGGCTCAGATCTAGAAAAAAAAATACTACAAATGCCACTGGAAACAAGTTTAGTATTCAGAATGCAAGCAATCATTTACACTTTAGATGTTATACTCTCTTTTTCATAATTTTAAATGCTTGGAATCCAACACATTATATTTTAAAGTGTGGAGGAATACTCCGTTTTAAAACCTGTTAATATTTTTATTTATTCTACATCTTATATTCACTTAAATATCTTTATGTGAGGAAATACATAAAAACCTGCATTTGCAGCAGAGTTTGTTTAGGTGTGTGACTATCTGCCATAGGTCAAATAATCAAATTAAATCTACGTTAAATTCTTGGAATTTCTTTACAATAAATTAATAATTAACGGTAAGTGTGCCCCGGGGGGGGGGGGGGGGAACTCTTACACCATCAAATGGCAGACTCATATTCATATGCAATGCCACAAATCTGTGGCAAGCAAAAATTGGATTGGGCTAAACTGTATTTTTCAGTAATAAATGAGATGGTCGAGTCTAAAGCTTTTAACTGGCTTCAGTGGCTTCCAGTTCAAGTCATGACACAGTGAGTATGAAAACTTAATTATAGATTGAATTAGAAAAAAGAGTTCTAAAACTCTGTCAGGATGAGCCTCAGGCAAGTCTGCTTTCAAAATAAATACAAAGAGCATCTTTTTTTGTTCTGGAAATTTATGATAATATCAGGTGGGTAGCTATGTTAGTCTGCAGTAGTATAAAAAATCTATATGTACTAGCACTTTAAAGACCAACAACGTTTTCTGGGATATAAGCTTTTATGAGTCAAAGCCCACTTAGTCAGATTCAAATAGGAATGAAGATCTATCAGCCCTATATCCAGGTCAGAAGGTGGGCCAGTTGGGGTCAGCAACTGTAGGTACAATGCACAGAGGTGGGAAATGCAGACAAACATTGGGACTAATAGGCAGGCCTGCCATGGAGAGATTAATTCCATAGCAAAAAACTCACCTGGGGGCACCCATTCCCCTCAGAGCTCATGAGATGTATTTTCCCACTCAAATGGTCACATGCTCTGAAGGGGGCACCCCATCTCCCTCAATTCCACCTGAGTCACCTCAAGAGAAGTAATAAAGAAGAGAACTCACGGTGAGGCAGGTGGGTGGGAATATGTGCCTGCACAGAGGACAACTTGATAAAACAGCGGTTACAGGTTGGTGCAACCCTTTTTTCATCTTCTGTCTTCTGTGCAGTCCCACATTGGGATTTTACTAGACTATCCCTGAAGAATGCGGGATGAAGTTCTCACCAATTAGATTATTGGAACAAGAACAAGAGAACTGCTTTGCCCACTTCTAACTCTTTTCTTGCTTGTAGATCCAATTCACAGTCTTCTACAAAACTATCTGCCAAACACCAAGTGGCAGATCTGCAGATCTCAAGAAGCAAAACACCTCTACAGAGAGCAGCAAAAGAAGCCTGTGCCCTAGCTGAATGGGCGTGAACATGCAGGGGAGAAGGCAACCCTCCTCATTCATCACTTAGTTTTATTGTAGTAACAATCCACCTAGAAAAGCACTTCTTAAGTACTGAGCAGTATTGATGGGGAGAATGAATGCCCAGTTTGAATTTTGACAAAAACCACAATTGTAAGGGTAGCATAAATAGTTTAGCCATTGGCAGCATGGCTAGGGTGAAGCCATTAATCCTAATAACCTCTTAATGGAATTAGCCCATTGGAAGTGATTATGGGAGAAATGGAGCACTAAAGATTTTAGCACTGCACCTCTGTCTCTAGGGAGAAAATGCTTAGCGATTATGGAGTCTAGTGTCACCCCAATGAATTGTACAGTCTGGGAGGGCTGAAGCCTGGATTCCCCCCCCCTCAATTAATCACAAGGCCTAAACAGTGGCAGATCTTGAGTGTAAGCACAACTTGATCCACCAAAAGCTCTCTAGAGTCTGCTACCATCAGCCAATCATAAGATTGTATGGTAACCAGAAAAAAGCCCACAGAAAAAACCCCATGGTCACAAATGCTCACAGGAAAGAAGCCCACATGGGAAAATGCCCACATGAAAAAGTAAACAACTTATCTCTAAACCAAGAACTGAACAAACAGGGTGATCTAGTGGTGATCTAGAATGTGGGTTTAGGCTGGTGGGCCTGACTGTAGCAGAATAAGGTTAATGTTGAGGTTTCTGTTTGGAGGTGCTGCATCTTTTTGGAAAAGACTGCTAAGAAAAGGGCTTCTCTACAGGTAATTGCTGCCTGGAGAATGCATATGATCTCTACTCCCTTTGAAAAGGGTACCACTATAACAGAAATAGGGAGGGGGACTACATTTAAGGGGATAAAGAAAAGATACCCACTACTGACTAAAAACCCAAGAGAGGAGATCTTCTAAT